GAGGCAAGACCTGCAGAAAGCAGAGTGCAAGGGCTTTAGGACTAAAAACACACCCCAGAACGCTGGGCAAGCTCATTTGCCAGCTCCCAGCTCCTCAGTGTTCACATCCAGCCGAAGTATTGCACTACAGACAAAAGCAAAGGTAACTTTTCCCCTAGGAAGGGTTAAATCCACTTAAACAATGTGCAATAAAGGCAGAGCCGTGCCCCAGTAACACTGAAGTTGTTTCTATTCCATACCATAAGCTCAGGAAGCAAAATTAAAATCTATCTGCATGGTCTGAGGTCACTCGGGCTAGGGATGCTTATTTGAAATCTGAATATTGGAAACATATGGTCCTCCATGGAGGCTTCCAGAAAGCTGAACCTGCTGGTGCTCAGCTTTCCAGGGAACGCTGGACAGCCCAGAGGCCCAGCAGCTTTCCAGGGAATGCTGGACATTTCTACAAATTCAATCTTCAGTCATTTGTGATGTACAAACCAACCCCAACAGGGATGCAGTGCAGCCCCAGCCCCTGCTCTGAGGCTCACAGCTCAAGCCCAGCCCATGCACAGTGCTAATTACTTTGCATTACAGCAGAAAGGCTCCTGATAAACAGAAATGTGAAATGACTTTTGCATTTTACAATGGGCATGCAAATCATCTTCAGGAGAAGATTTTTCCCTGCCCAGGTCCTGGCTGGGCTGCCCTGGAGGGGGAATCTCATCCTGCTGCTGTTCCAACAATCCCTGCAGCACCAGGGATGTTTTCACTTGGGGTGGGTTTGGGGTCCCTGGAGGGAGAGGAAGGAATGAATGTGACTCCATGTTCTCAGGAGGCTGATTTATTGTATCATGGTCTTCTATAATATTAAAGAATGCTATACTAAACTATGCTAAATAGAATAGAGAAAGGGAACAGACAGAAGGCTGAAAAGATAATAATGAAAACTGGTGACTCCTTCCAGAGTCTGACACAGCTTGGCCCTGATTGGCCATTCACACAAATGAATTCACATGAAATTCACATGAAATTCACATGAAATTATCACCTGTGGGTAAACAACCTCTAAGCACATTCCAAACACAGCAGCAGCAACTCAGATAATATTGTTTTCCTTTTCCTCTGAGGCTTCTCAGCTTCCCAGGAGAAGAATCCTGGGCAAAGGGATTTTTCAGAAACTATCAGTGGCATTCAGTCCCCTTGCTGATGATGCCAGGACAAGTCTCTAGGTGTGTCCCGAGCAGGGCTCCAGGCTCAGCACTCTGCTGGCAGCAAGCACCACGGGTTTCAGGGTGACCAAAACCTGCCAGCAGGCTGGGCTGGGTGCCCTGGAGGGTCCCGTGCCACCCACTGTGACCAGAGGTGACACTGCAGCCATTGCAAACAAAAACACCCTGCCACAGTTTCTGGTCGCTTTTAAAAACTTGATTTTGACAAGAAATTCAAAACGTTACATAACCTTGTAATTAAAGGATTATTATGAGAGATTGTTCATTAAAAATGATCCGTTCTGGGTTGGAGCATCCTGGCTGGGCACAGCACTCTCCTGAGCAGGAAAGGGACACGAAGGGTCTGACTTTGCAGCTCATCTGTCCCTGAACTGATTTATGCTCTGCTGTGAGGTTCAGAGAGCCGGAAGCAAAACCCCCCCTCAGGAGATGCAAAGAAATGACACTGGCAGGGAAAAATGCCAAACAGGGCAAGTTTTGCAAGCTCCCAATATTTACCATCCATCCCAGAGTACTCCATTCTCATGCAAGCATGTCACAATGAGAAAACAACATCTCTATAAGGGTAAAACAAACAGCATTCACAATTTCTGAAAGCATTCTTCCACAATTATTGCACTAGATTAGATTGCCTCATCACCAAGGCCAGAGGCCATTTACACTATTTTCTTTCTTTTTCATTTTTTTTATGGAACAGATGAAAGGATTACAGAAAGTTTTCTGGGGCCAAATTTGGAGCTAATGATGGGAAAATTCTTTTGCTAATCCCCACTGCTAGCAGACTCCTGAGGCTGGAAAAAAACAATGTCTCCTGGTACCCAGCTCCTCCTCTGCTCATCAGGAGGTTTGCAAGGGCCCATCAGCATCGAGCAGAGCCACCAAATCTGCAGGACAGGGCTGCAGTGAGAAGCTGAGCACACAACCACTGAAACGGGGATGGAAACAGGAGAGCCGGGGATGGGCTCAGCCACAGCAACATCCACCTGGGGCACGGGCCCTTCCAGAACATTCTGAGCCTGCAGGGACCCCACCTGAGCAGCCCCGGTGCCTCCAGAGGGCTCCTGCAGGGATGGGTGGGAGATGCGGAGCTCAGGCAGGCCAGGCTGCTGTCACCTGCTGTCACCTGCTGCCACCTGGGTCCATGCTCAGGACTTCCCCACAGCTGCCCCAGACCCCAGGGATGCCCTGGGCAAGGCTCCAGCCCTGCTCCTCCCCCTGCCCCTCAGCCACCTCCCCCCAAGGGCACCTTAATCACCCTGCAGTCATTTAACAAACACAAAGGAACTCGCGTCGGGGAGCAAACTTTGCATAATGAATCCATCTGCAAATGCACAGCTACACCCGCTGGCACGCAGGGGAAAATGCCACCTCAGAGCTCAAACACCTCCGGAGAGCCGGGGCTGCCTGGGAATGGAAAACACAGAGCCGAGGAACAGGTCTGGAAAATCAGCACCCCGCTCCCTAAAGCCTAATTCGTCAGTGCACATTATCAGCTGCTCCTGCACTAAGCCAGGCTTTATCTGAGGAGCAGCTCGAGCTGCAGGCACCCCCGGGGCTGCAGAAGGTGGGAACATCCCCAGCAGGCAGGCAAGGGGAAGTGGAGCTTCCCACAGAAAGGAGCCCTGGTGGAAAGTCTGACGGGGGGAAAGAGAAATGTCGAAGCAGCACTTAATGAAGATGAACTTCCCCTGCCTCCCCACAAGGCAGACCATGCCATTATCACTCAGCACCAGGAAGGAAAGGGATTCCAGGCAAGGGGAAATTGCAGGGCAGTTATCCTCATCAACCTGAGCAGCCTGGCACAGAGCCTGAGCAAAGTCTGCTCGGGGTTCAGCAGGGGCATGAAGGAAGATGTGCACAGGGAAACAGCCCCTGGAAAATACTGCTAAGGACTTCAGCTTTGCCAGGGTGCCAGTGGCAACAGAATGCCTGACCTTATCCCCCCCAGATCTGCCAAAAAAGCCCAAAAAAGGGATTGCACCAAGGCAGCAGAAACGTGGGAGCTCCACTCGCCTGGCAGGGATGGAGCCAAGTGCTGAGGGACCTGCTGAGGGATCTGCAGGGCCAGGCTGCTCCCAGTCCTCTGGACACCTTCACCTCTCCTGCTGAGCCTTCCCCCAGGCTGGCAGGGCTCTGGGACACAGGCTCTGAGCAGCACCAACCCTCAGCTACCCCTGCTCAGGCAGAGCTGCCTGCAGCTCAGGGCAGAGCTCCAGGAAACACAGGAGTGTGCTCAAGGCTTTGTGACTGCCCCCCAGACAAACAGCACCAGCACTAGCTGCAGTATTTGTGAAAAGGAGGGTTAAATATGTTCCATTTCACAGGTATTTCCAGGTCTCATTGCTCAAGTCTGGCAAAAATGCAGTGGCACGAAACACAGAACCTTCAGAGTCCCAAAAACTAAGAATTTGGGGAACCATCCCCAACCCCCAACAGGGAAATGTGACACATTGTGTATTTTCCTGAGGAGAAACCAAAAGTTCACAGAGAATCCATACACATGCTACGCTTCCCACCTGTTTCCTATTTAGAGCAAAAAAGAAAAGCAATTAATGTGACTTTTTAAGCAACAATTAATAAAGAAACCTACGAGATGAGACCCCTAATTGAAAATGCCTTTCCTCACACGAGGCAGAGGATCCAAACGTGACAAGAGCACTGAGCAGGGTCTCTCCCAGCTGCACAAACCCTTCCTCAGCAACCCTAAAATTAATAAACAAAGACATCTTCTAGGCATTTCCTATCCCTCCTGGGTTCAGCCGTGGCAAACAGGACAAATCCATCCTCCAGCCTCACTGTGCTGCAAGCAGAGCTGCCAGGCAGGGATGGAGTCTGGAACCCCTCAATCTGAGCTGCCATGCAGGGATGGAGTCTGGAACCCCTCACTGGGAGTCTGGAGCCTCTCACTTTGAGCTGCCAGGCAGGGATGGAGTCTGGAACCCCTCAATCTCAGCTGCAAACAGAGCTGCCAGGCAGGGATGGAGTCTGGAACCCTCACTCCCAGCAAACCCAGAGAGCTGCAGAGGGCAAACACCACCCCAGGAAGAAGCAGCTCTCAGGGCTGGGCTCCAGGGCTCTCAGCAAGGCAAGGACACTGCCCTGCCCAGCGGGGAAGCACAGGCAGGGAGGAAGGCCAGGGCTCTCCCTGGGCTGCTCCAGGTGGAAGGAGTGGAGCAGTCAGGAGGATGTGCCCTGCCAGGGCCAGCTCGTGCCATGTGCACAGTGAGGTGACACACAACACTGATTTGTTACTGCAGGAGAGAACTCCACTGGGCCACTGGCTCCTCTGAAAGGAGCTAGGTGCTCTCCTGGCTCAGTATTACATTTAATTTGGGCTACACTCACTGCCACAAACCCTCCCAACCCATCCACTGGGAGCTAACAATGCAATGCTTCTCCTTTGGTCACTGGCTCAAGGCTCCTCCATTCAGCTAAACAGGACAGAGAGTGAGAATGCTCAAGTGAAGCCCTGCAACACAGAAAAACTGTCATCAATCAGAAAAAGGCAGAAGATGGAGCACAAAACCCACTCTGTGCTTTGCAGCAGCCATCACCAATGTCTCTGCCCTAAAGCCAGGCTGGGGGAACACCCCAAGGCTCCACCCTGGACACAGCCCAGGGGATGGAGGAGGCACAGTGAAACCAGGCAGGAGTGGGCACAAACCTGAAAAACTGCCTGAACACAAACCTCAGTGCCAGCTGCTTGCTCTGCGGGCAGGAGGAGCAGCTGTGAGGAGAGAAAACACAAATCCCACCTTAGAGAGAAGTGAGGCAAGATCCTCTCCTTACCGTTCTGCTCGTCCAGCTCGTTCCCAATCTCCTGCCCCATCTGCTTCTGCCTGGATATGATTGAAGAAAGAGCATCGAGTCCAGCATCTTGTTCTGCACCAGGAAAATATATTAAATTACTTCCAAAAGTTGCTGAAATGCCAGGCTACATAAAATAGGTAAAAGTGAAGGAAAAAAAAATTGACTCTGTGCTTAAAGGGCTAAAATGTATTAAGAAAAACACATGAACACAATATGAAAATTAATCCTTATGGCAACAGCACTCTTCAAATAACGTGAATGATGGGTAAATAATTCCTGTGCTCTGGCTGGGACATTTTGCTGGATCCAAAAGAGAAAGGATCAAAAAAAATCCAAGAATTTAACATTTAGCTGTTACTCAATCATAAATGCAGGGGATTTTCTGGCACACAGAGCGAGCTCCAGATTAGCCTTTTTAAATTTTCCAAGCAACTTTTAACATGAATAAAAGAAAACAGGTGATGCAAACTCCAAAGAATTCAAAGAGATTTTTTTGAGCCGCGAGAGGACACGGAGGGTGGGGAGGGCTGAGGGGAGGAGGGCAGGGACAGGGTGCTGTGCTCCCAGAGCTCTGCAAGCTGCTGGGGCAGGAAGCACATCCCCTGCGCCCTGCAGGCAGCCCTCCCTGCCCCGAGCTGCCAGGGTGGCACGAGAGGAGCTGCAGAGCCCAGGGCACAGCAGTGGTGGCCAAAGGACACTCCACCTCAGCAGCCTCCTTCAGCCTCGCTCTAATTACCTGTAGTGTAATTAAAGCACAGCTGAGGCCCCTCCTGGCCATCCAGGCATTCTCCTGACTGCACACCAGTGGTGCCCAGGCAGAGTGAAGCAGGCTTTCCTGGGCACTGATTTCATGGCACCACTTCCAGCCCTGGAACTGCCTGGAAATGACCTCATTGACCAGCTGACCTCCCCAGGCTGAGCTCCCCCAACACTCCCAAAGCCACAGACTCCTCAGGGGTGCACAGGCCAAAACGTGGACACCCTTTTTGGAGGAGTTAATTCTTACCTTGTCCCAGTTCAACAAGAGCTGCAATGCACCCAGCAAGTCCCCTACAGTTATGTGACCACACCAAAATCATGAATGTGGGCAAAATCAGGACTTCCAAAATTCAATTTAAGAAGTTGCATCCAGGCAAGAACACTGCAAGCACAATGCTGCTCCTGCAAACACAGCAAGCAGCTGCCTGGAGCTGCTGTGCTTGGCATCAGTGAAGAACCAAACTGCAGCACAGGTTGGTGCACTGAGCTTCCAACAAAAGCTCCTCTCAGAGTCCCAGAGATGCTGAAAACAGCCAGAAAGGCTCCTGTACCTTCAATGATCCTTCTCTGCTGCTGCCTGAGCTCATCAAAGCCAAGTCCTCGTGTCTCCTCCGGTTCTTCCAGGAGCCAGGGGTTGGTGGGGCCTCGCTTGGCCCCTCCTGCCATCAGGCTGGATCTGCAAAGAGTCCCGTGAGTGAGTGCCAGCCTGGCTGCGTGCCCTGCCCCTGGCACACAGCCTGGCACACAGCCTGCCCTGGCACACAGCAGCACAGGGCCCTGTGCAGCCCCAGCAGGGACCAGCCAGCAGCACCCCCAAGAACAAACCCACCCACAGGCTGCAGGTGCTAGGGGAGGACAGGATCCACCTCACAGGCTGTATAAATAACCACAGATTGTAAAAAAATCCATACAAAATGCTGTTTGCATGAAGAGCACACAGCATTCCTGGGAATGCACATTACTCCTGGATTTGGTATGTGACCAAAGCTCATAAAAATACTGTTACACCTCAAACAGCAAAAGGATCCACTTGGTAACAGAGCTGCAAATCAGATGAGACTCAATTCCCTGCAATGCTGACCAAACCTCACCAGGAACATTCCTGAATTTCAGGAACTGCAGATGGACACAGCTCCCTTCCTGCATTTCCTAGTCTGGCATCAACCCCAACGAGAAGCCAGGAGCACACACTCCTAAATGAAAGAGTAATTAAATAATGGGATTTCTTTCCAAAGAATTACGACTTGACATTGTTCACATTACAGACACTTCCCTGGTGACCACAGAAAACAAGATTTCCATGTCCAGGGCACATAAATCCAAGCAGTAAAATGAAACCCCACTCAAACATTGCCTCAGTAGCAGATTTCTGCCTTCCAGCTCCTCACTGGTTTCTCCTGCAGGACAAACCTCAGCACAGACTGGGAGTCCCTGACCCAGAACTGCTCAGGTTTGGGGGGGCACGCTAAGGCTTCCCCCAGTGTTCACAAGCTGGAGCTTTTGCTTTCCTCTCTCTCAACTCTGTATTTCAGCCCCTTTTACCTTCTCCCTGCCCTTCCCCAAGGCACTTCCAGAGGCAGAAGACACGAGAGGGATTTTAGGATCTCTCAAGCTCTCCGCGATTTCAGTTACACCAAGACCTAAATGAGAACACTGCAGCTGCTGTGGTGTTTTTAGTGGAGTTTTTACGGGGCTGCTCTGGCCTGCCCCGTGCCCAGCTGTGCCCCGTCCCTGTGTGCAGGAGCTCGCCGGGCACAGGGGCAGGGCTGCTGCCGAACCCCGGGCAGCTGGGGACATCTCCTGGCCGCGGCTGGAGCAGCGCTGCTGCAGAGCTGCAGCTCCTCTGCCCGGGCGGCAGCGCGGCTCCGGGGGAAAACGGACAGAAAAAATAGGGGGGAAATAGGAAAGAATGGAAGAGAAATAGGGAAAAAATAGGGGGAAAAATAGGGAAAAAATAGGGAAAGAAATAGGGAAAAAATAGGGAAAAAATAGGGAAAAAAATAGGGAAAGAAATAGGGCAAAAATTAGGAAGAAATGTAAAAATAGAAAAAATAGAAAAAATAATAAAAATAGGAAAGATAGGAAAGATATTAGAAAAAAATAATAGCAAAATAGAAAAAAAAATTTGAAAAAAGAGAAAAAAAATAGGGAAAAAAAGAGAAAAACTTCCTTTTTAATGAAAGTGATTAAAAAGCACTTTTTCTAGATCTCAGCATCTCCCTTATCCACCTCTGAGCTCTTTTGCTGAGCTCCAAAGCAGAGCCAGCCCTGCTGTGCCACGACCAGCTGGGTGTTCAGGGCAGCACCAGAGAGGAGCTGGGATTCTTCTGCACTCCAGCCCTGCGCCCCATTCCATTTCCAGTATCTATCGAGGCTGGCAATTCAATTTCCATATATTTATCAAGGCTGGCAATTCAGTTTCCATGTATGTATCAGGGCTGGCAATTCAATTTCCATATATTTATCAGGGCTGGCAGTTCAGTTTCCATGTATGTATCAGGGCTGGCAGTTCAGTTTCCATGTATGTATCAGGGCTGGCAATTCAATTTCCATGTATTTATCAAGGCTGGCAATTCAGTTTCCATGTATGTATCAGGGCTGGCAATTCAGTTTCCATGTATGTATCAGGGCTGGCAATTCAGTTTCCATGTATGTATCAGGGCTGGCAATTCAATTTCCATGTATTTATCAAGGCTGGCAATTCAGTTTCCATGTATGTATCAGGGCTGGCAATTCAGTTTCCATGTATGTATCAGGGCTGGCAATTCAGTTTCCATGTATGTATCAGGGCTGGCAGTTCAGTTTCCATGTATTTATCAGGGCTGGCAATTCAGTTTCCTGTATTTATCAGGGCTGGCAATTCAATTTCCATGTATCTATCAGGGCTGGCAATTCAGTTCCATGTATGTATCAGGGCTGGCAATTCAGTTCTGTGTATTTATCAGGGCTGGCAATTCAGTTCCGTGTATCTATCAGGGCTGGCAATCAGGACTGCCCAGACAAAGTGACACACACCTGGAAAGCAGCTTTCCACACCAGCCAGCTCTCCTCCCTGCTCTGGGGGATCAGATGTGCTCCTTTATCCCCAGGCCCACAAGGGACACGGGGTTTGTGACCACGGCAGGAGCAGAGGATGGAAACACGCTGCAGCTCACCCAATGCACCTCAGTTGGGAAACAACCCCAGGGTGACAACACCTGACAGAGCTGCTTCACCCTGCCAAGGGAACAGAGAGCTCTCTGCCTGCTGAAACGAGCACAGCTACTCCTGCCTGTTAAAAACAGCCAAGGCAAGCACATTTGGAATAATTTGTGGTCGTGCCTCTCTCCCCCCTGTGCTCTGCCCTGCTCCTCCAGGCTGGGTCATGCCAAGTGCTGTGCTGGGCACAATAATCTTTGTGACATGTTTGGGAACCACCGAGCACTTCCTCCTGCCTCTGATCCTGCCTCACTGCGCTGGTGTGAAGATTAAAGCTTATCCAATTAGCCAAGTTAATCAGGCAGATCTGGGGAGCCTCACAGAGCACTGCAGCGTGGGGATGGCTTTTGATGAGGGGAGCAGATTTAACTAATTACAGGGCTCAGCCATGGCCCCAGCATAAAAGGTGCTGGGGTTTAAAACCAGGGAGCTCTGTCCCTGCCTAATGAGGGAGGGCTGTCTTTTGTTTCACTGACAATTCTGAGAACACCTCCCAAGAAACTTGGATTACTCAACCAGCACCTACCTTGGGCCAAGGCCACACATCGAGGCTTAGGGCTCTGCAAGACTGAGTCCCAAACAAAACCTGGGTCATATGACAACTGGGGGGATGATCACTTGAGCATTCCCTGAACTAGAGGGGCTCTTTGAAGCACCCAGGGCACCCCAGCCCCTTCACAGGTCACTCTCCACAGGGGAGCTGCAGGACTGGGGCGTTCTCTCACTTACAGGGCTCGCTCTGTATTTTTAGGAAGATCCAAGCTAATAAATAAAACCATTTTCTATACAAATACAGACATTTGTAAAAAAAAAACTATACAAATTGTCTATATAAGTATAACCATTTTCTAATAAAAACAAATTTTCTAAATATGAATTTTCTAAATATGAATATAAACCCTCTCTATCTCTCCAAAAACCCATGAGAGGCCACACAAGCACTTCCAAGTCCCCTCCAGGCACCACCCCAGGTGGAGATTTCCTGACAAGAAGCTCTCCTGATGGGAAGATCTTATTTCCTTCTTTTCTTATTTGGCCCCCACAAACAGAGCCAGATTCCCAAAGCATTTGACACCTGAAGCTGGGCACTCATGGACTGAAGCCTGTTTGGCATTAGGTAAAATTCCTGTTTGGATCCAGGCTGAAATGCCTTCCATCTGTCAGGAGGGGTTCAACCAGGAAACATGGTGACCCACACTGAAGAGACAAAAGATTGTGGACTGCTCTAAAATGTACCTGGGGTAGCTCTTACTGAAGGGGCTTTGTGTCCCACAGGCACCAGAAGCTGTCTCTGTTTTTGAGGAACTCCAAGAGACACCAAGAAGGGCAGGTAAATTATTGATTCTCTGGTGACTGACATGAACTTCTCCAGCCTGAGACTGGTCAGACAGGAGTGGGAATATTCCCATTCCTCTGTCTCCACAAATGTTTAAACACTCTAAAAGTTTGACCTGTGCCACCCAGCAAGTCACCACTGCTGGCTGCTTTCCCTGCCCTTGGAATGGGGTGAGACCCTGGGAATTCTGCCCCCCTGCAGCCCCTGCTCTGCCAGCCTGCACAGCCTCTCCCAGGGAGGACAAGGGGCAGAAGCCACTGAAATTGCCATTAGAGCCCCCCTGAGGGCAGTGCAGCTGCCCTGCTCCAGGGGGGCACTCAACAGCCCAGCCCTGCCCTGGGAATTCCAGGGCACCTCAATGAGGCCCAAGGGGCAGGAATGCTGTCCCCAGGCAGGAGCAGCCTGCAGCAGCTGTCACTTGGGATCAGCCCCGAGGGCATTAAAGCACAGCCCTGCAGCCCAGAACAGCCCCAGAGCAGCTCCCACAGGGAGTGCAGCTCCCCGAGCCTGAGCAGACCCAAAGCAGCTGAACTCCAGGGCAGAGCCCCGGGCCTGGCCAATGACCGTGGGCTCAGCGGTGCAGGAAGGTCAGTGAAAGGAAGGGCTGCTGGCAGGGGCAGGCCTGGCACCGCGGGCTGTCCCAGCAGGCTGCATGAGATGGGGAAAAGCAGCACAAGCCAGGCAAGTGTCAGTGCTCAGCCCATCACACCCCGCGTGCTGATTGCTCTAATGCAGGGAAAGCCCAGCGGCAGCTCCGGGCACATTCCAGGGTGGCTCTGCCACCTCCAGAGTCCCAAAGCTGGGCCGGGATCCGCCAGGAGTGCAGAGGGACCCGAGCTGGGAGCGGCAGCTGAGCCCTCCAGAGCCTGGGGCTCCGTGCCTGACAGCAGCTCCTGCCAGGACCTGCCAGGATCCTTCCAGGAGCCCTCTGAGATCCCTCCAAGATCCCTCCAAATTCCTTCCAAGATCCCTCCAAACTCCCTCCAAGTCCCTTCCCTACAGACGCACTCCCAGCCCGGGCTCAGGCAAGAGAGCAAAGTTGGATTTCCTGGCACAAGGTTCAGGCCCTGAGGTGCCTCTGCCTGCACCCCTGAAAAGCAGACCCACAAGGGAGACCATGGAAGGGGTGGGAATTCACCAGATGGAATAGTTGGCATGGTTTTATTCATTTTTAATAATAGAAGTTAAAAGAGAACTATAAAACACCAAGCCTTGCAGCACCAGCAAATAAATACTCTCTGATGTTATCTTCTGCTGGAAAATACTGGATTCCCTAATCATTTCTAATGGGGTCTGAAATTATCAAGGGATTTTGGTATTTTCCTCCTGTTTGCCTTAAGTTTTCATCTTTCACATTTCCAGACTCTGCACTGCACTGGCACAGAACTCTGACCTCCACACCCAGTGCCAGCAGCTCTCCTCACAGCTCAGGCACACAGAACAATCCTTTCCCAGCCCCACAACCAAGGGCACCGCTGCAGCTTCAGCCCCAAAAAGTGCAAACAACAGGGGATGGAGGAGAGCAGCCTGGGAGGGTGGGACTGCATCACCTGCAGCTGCAACTGGACAGTGAACCCAAGGTGGGAATGGACCAAAACTGATCAAAGTGTGAGAACTCGTGACTCTGAGTCCATCCTGGTTCCATCTTGGGTGCAGCCCTGGCTGGGCTCTTGCACTGCCCAAGGGGGATCCTTTGAGGCCTTTTAATAAATTTAATAAACTTTATTCCTACAACTCTGTCCAGCCTCTGCTCCAGGAGCCTCTGCAGGCATGAAGAGAGCTGCCAGGAATGTGCAGTCACTGACAAAACCACCTCATTTCCAAGCATTTCCTTGGGAACCTGCAGGGCAGATGAGCTCAGGTGCCACCCCAGATGCACCCCAAGCTCAGCTGCAGTCTGAGGGGACAGGGCCATACCTGCTCATGTCTGGCTCTGGGCCTTCATTCCTGTAGGATGCCTCCAGCTGTCTGTGCCGGGTCAGGAGCTCGTCCACCAAGTTCTGCCTCCTGTCCCCCTCCAGCTGGGTGCTGATGGCTCTGGGTCAAGGACAAAACTCAGAAATACCACAAAGCTTTCATTCACTCCATAAAATAATGCTTGTTATACATTCATAAAATAAATCAGACCTCCTCATCATCAAAATTAACAATTTTAACTCAAAAAAAGGCTCCAAGATCTAAGAGGATTGGTCAGGTTTTTCTGAATGAAACCTGCTGTTATTCCAAATGTGTTTCTGATCTTTACATAACTGAAACAAAAGGTTTCATACAGTGGCCACAGAATGATCTTTACGTCATCATCTTAAAGTAATTAGAGAACTGGAAGGACATGTACTGCCAAATTAGCAGTAAGAATAGCATTTCCCCTCCAAAATCCAAGCAAAGTCATTTTCTGTTTATTTTTGGTCTCTGACAGTGTCACAGTGCTGCACAGGTTAAGCTCAGGAAGGATGAGATTTCCTAAAAGAGCTCCAAATGACCCTGCCACCACCAGGGCAGGCCAAGCAGAAGAGAGCCTTTAAAATCAGCAGGGTATTTCTCATCTCACTGCACTGCAGCCTCCTCACACAGACCAGGGGAGCAGCTCCCAGCCAAGGGATCAGAGAAAAACCAAAATCTTCCTTTGAGCATCTGTTTCCAGCTGCAGTTCCTGAGCAGAGCACCCGAGAGCCCCTGGAGAGCAGAGGAACAATTCACACGGTGCCTCTGAGAGCTGTGTGCCCACAGGGGAGCTCTGGGGGCCTCTCCAAATTAACCCTAGGGACACCCTGAGGATCCTGAACTCTCTCCCAGGCGCTGCTGAGTGGGCTCAGCACTGGCTGAACTGGTTTGTGTGTGTTCTCTGCCACAGCAGCAGCATCTGCCTGCCCAAACACCACTGGGAGTTGCAGCCCTGGCCACCAGCACAGCACTCGGGCTCAGGGCTCAGGAGGGGTTTCTGCTGTGCCAGGCTGAAATTAAACACCCCTCCTTCAAAGCAGGCTTCTCCTGGATACCTCACAGGGAGAGGGACATCCCTGTGACCCTCCAACCTGACTGCTCCAGCATCTCCCAGTCCAGCCATGGGGCAGGTAACACTCCCAGCAGAAAACCTGATTTCTCGAGGTGTGTTCTGCAGTGTTTTGGCTGCAGGGCTGCTGTGTCTTAAGTCAGCCAAAGCCAGGACACCCCAGCCTGAACAAAGCTTCCTCCTTGCTTTTAGCCAAGAGAAAAGGCCAGAGGAAAATGCACTGGGCAGTTTAGTGCTGGCCAAGTGACCCTGCTGTGACAGCAGTGCCTGCACAGCACAGGCAGCTCTGAGAGCTCTGCTCAAGCTGCTCTCAGCCCACCCTGGCAAGGCTGGGCACACAGAGGTGACCAGAGCCAGGCTCTGTCCCAGCAGCCCAGAGTGCCCAGCCCTTCCTGGCCTGCAGCTGCCCTGACAGCAACAGCACACAGAGAACCTTCTGGAGACCAAGTGTGCTGCAGAGGGAACGAGGGGAACCCAGAGCGTGGGGCAGGGGCTGAGAGCACATCCTGCACAGCACAGTTTTACAGCACACTCTGCACAGCACACTTTACACAGCACATCCTGCACAGCACATTGTGCACACTTTACACAGCACACTTTACACAGCACATTTTCACAGCACATTTTATACAGCACATTTTGCACAGCACACTTTGCACAGCACACTTTGCACAGCACATTTTGCACACTCTGCACAGCACATTTCCACAGCACGTTTCCACAGCACGATTTCCAGGTGGCCCAGAACCCCAGGGCAGGGCTGCTGGCACAGATACATCTGCCGAGTGGACACTGCCCGCAGCAGCTGCTCCCTCAGCTGCTCAATCTTCTCCCTGAGGCTCTGCAGCGAGGACCTGATGGCCACGTTGACCTGGGGGAACACAGACACTGTCACTGGCCGCTCTGTCAGACATGACATTTCATGTATACACACATTTAACTTTCACTGCACAGGTGTGAGGGGCTCCAGCAAGCCCAGAGCCCGTTCAGAGCCAGGAGTCACTGCTTACAAAACAATGGCACAGTTTCACCAACACAACTCTGAGGCATTAATGCTGAGGGATATGGAAAGCTGTCTTTCAAGTCTTTATAAACACACTTCTTTATATGGGCAAAACATTTCAGCACATTTTAATATTTTCCAGATAAATTTCCAGCTCTTTCCTCTGATCTTCAGTAAAAATCAGGCACCAGCTTCTTTTGCCACTGAGATTCTTTCCCAGCTACCAGGATCAGAGAGAATGCTGCTACAGGTTCACACATTCTCTGCACTGAACTCCTCCAGACTTGACATCTAAGACCCCAAAGAAATCCAGATTGCTCCATTTCCCTTCTCAGCAGCACCCAGCACTCCCAGTCCTTTCTCACCACTGACCTGCCCAAGCCCCAGATGTGTGTTCTCAGTAAAAATGGAATTCAGCCATCCTTCCCTGCTGCCAGCAAACCCCAGGCTTGCAGGAACCCTCCTGCTTTCCCCCCACCCCTTTCCAACTCAAACTCACATTATCCTCTCAGTTTTTCCTCCTCAGATGTTATTTCTTTTCATTCCAGCTATGCAGAAAAAACCACTCAAACTGCAATTAACAATGCAAGTCGTCCTAATTAAGAATTGCTGTGCCTCTTGTTTACAAGCTGTGGATTACAACAGGCAGCAACCCCAGCTGCTCTGTGGGAGAGAGGAAAAGCTGCTCTCACTCTCAGCCCTGCTCTCCTGGAGCCCCAGAGGCAGCAGCAGCAGCAGCAGCAGCAGCAGCAGCAGCAGCCCTCTGCAGGGGCAGTGCTGCCAGACCCTGCCTGTGTGCTCAGGGATGGAGCAGCAGAGCCTGAGAGACTGAACCTGTCTGGGACGGAGCAGGAGACCCCAGGAGTTTGAAATTCTCTGACTTTTTTTGCTCTCAAACACCACCAGGCACAGCAGAGTGCAGATGCAGCCAGGCTGAGGCAGCCAAAATCCACCTCTGGACCAAAGCTCCCACTGCCACCGTGGCAGCAGATCTAAACCAGCACAGGGGTCAGAGATTCTGGGAGTGCTGAAGCCTCTGTGTGGCCTCCAGCTCTGCAATCAGGTAATTAAAGGTAATTAATTTCTCAGTTTGTTCTCAGCTCCAGGTGGAGAATGCTGCATTTGTGACCCAGAACAGCAACAGAGCACAAAGGTGACACAACTAAAAAAGTCACCAAAGGCAGCAGCCTGGCAGAAACTGCAGTGAGAGAACAAAAGATTTCCCCTCCTGTACAGAAAACCAAGGCAGAAGAAAAGTAGAAAGAAAATAAAAGAAACCAATGGAAGTTTTATGATCAGCTTAACAGAGCAGAGTTCACAGATGGTAAGTGCTGGATGAAAATCCTTCCTCACAGTTTATTCTTCCATGTTAGCTTTTGTGCTCTATTTTTGGCTCAGCAACAAGCAAGAAGTTTGTCAGCCGTGCTAATTGCAAAATACTACAGAAATGAAACCCTGTTTACATTCTCCCTCAAAGGCCAGCACTGCACAAAGACATTTCCCTGCATTACAGCACTCAGCAGGCACAGGACACGCGACTGCTCAGCCGTGGGTGTCTCAACAGGCATTTCTGTTATGGAAACACCTCTCTCCTTGCTGGAACCTTGTTTAGAGTAGAATCAAACACTGCCAAATATTCCCCTCTACCTGATAATGGATTAAAGCAAGCTGGAAAACACAGGGCATGGAACAAATGATTTTATGGAGCAGTCAGCCACCCGTGCAATGTTTCCATAAAACACAAGCCCCAGAAAGGCTCCAAACAGCACCAGCCCCACGTCTCCCTGGGGCCTGGGCTCCTCAGAGCTGGCACTGCTGGCAGTAGAGAACTTTGCCCCCTATAAACACAGACAGATTGAGCAGCAATCTTTTTATTGGTCTTTTTATTTGAGGTGTATCTGTGCAATTCTGATACTTCACCATCCTGAAAGCAGGAATTGAATCTGCACCTCCAAACGCTCCAAAGCAAAGAAATACTGCTCAAATCCCACTCATTTGGGGTTCCTGAGACCCCTTCTCAACTCCTGCTGAAGTGAGGCAGCCGTTCAGCAGCACTGATTACTGTGCACAGCCTGCACACTCTTCCTCAGAACTTCTTCCAAGGAAACACTTCAAAAACTGCATTGGATTTGAACAGCTCTCGGCAAATGAGTGGCCCAGCAGACCCAGGGATCAGCACTGCATTACAGCCCTGACACAGAGAGGGGGACAAAAAGCACTGCAGCTTTAATTGTGAAATTATTATAAATGACCCACTCGAGGGCTTACAGCAATTTTCATCTGAAAACAGCCAAGGGAGCAAGTAACGACTCAAAGCTGCTCCTGAAGGAAAGGATGAGGCTTGGAGCCCCAGGGCAAGCAGCCTCCTGAAAACCTTTATTTTATTTCTTAAACAGGAAGTGGGAAAATGTGGAGAACACAACATTCCTGGGTGAGCTCCAACTGCTGCTTCTCATTCCTGTTTAACTCTGGGCTTGCATTTTGTTAGAGATGCAGCCAAAACAAGGCTGCAAGATTCCTGTTCCCTCTGATCTGCAGCCACTGCAGAGAGCAGGAGCCAGCCCTGGGGGAGGAACATCTGCTCCCTGTTCACAGAGAGGGCACAGAGCAGCTGCTGAGCATCCCTGAGAATGCCAGCCCCTGGGACAGCTCCATCCCAGCATCCCTGGGAATCCCAGCCCCTGGGACAGCTCCGTCCCAGCATCCCCGACTCTCTGGAGCAGCTCCATCCCAGCATCCCTGGGAATCCCAGCCCCTGGGACAGCTCCGTCCCAGCATCCCCGACTCTCTGGAGCAGCTCCATCCCAGCATCCCCGGCTCCCAGGAGCGGCTCCATCCCGCAGGGCCAGCCCGCACGGGCAGCAGGGCGTGCCCAGCACGGCCGCAGCTCCTCCCAGCACCAGCGCTGCCGCACGCAGCAAACCAGGGACACCGGGGAGCCGCTGCTCATCCCAAACTCCCGTCCCGTTCCCCTTACAGACCCCTAAAGGGACACAGCCTTCCCCTGCGGGTGCCGGCAGCGGCACAGCCCGGCCCCGATCCGCTTATTCCTCCGCCCCGCATCCCGGGAATCCCGCCCCGCATCCCGGGAATCCCGCCCCGCATCCCGGGAATCCCGCTCCCGGCCGGTCGCAGCCGGCACACCGCACCCAGCCCGGGCACCTTGGCCGAGCTCTCCCCGCTCCGCTGGCAGCGGTTCCGCTCCTGCAGCTTCTCGGCGATGTCCTGGGCGAGCTGGCGAGCGGCGGCGAGCAGCGGCAGCCTGCGGGACCCGGGATGGGATGATGGGATGATGGGATAATGGGATGGGATGGGATGGGATGGGATGGGATGGGATGGGATGGGATGGGATCGGCCGGCGTGGGCTGGGATCTGATGGGATAGCTGGGATGGGCTGGGACCCGCCGGTACAAGCCTCGGGAGGGGAAGGTACAACAGCCCCAAAGCCTGGGATGGGCTTTGGGAAAGGACCCGGGAAGGGCAGGCACAGCACCCCAAACACACGGACACCGGGATGGGAAAGGACAGCGGAAAGCACAGCATCCCAAACACACGGACACCGGGATGGGAAAGGCACAGCATCCAGACACACGCACACCGGGACGGGCTCCGGGCAGGCACACCCGCACAGCCCGGCCCCGCTCCCGCCCGTGCCGGGCCCCGGAGGCGCCGCAGCCCCTGCAGCCCCGCTCCCGGCCCGCAGCCCCGCCCGGCCCGGCCCGGCCCGGCGCTCACCAGGGATCCGGAGCCATCGCGGCCCCGGAACCTGCGCGGCGCTTCCGCCGGATCCGCCCGCACGGGCCGCGCGCAGGCGCCGGGAGCGGCGCAGGGGAAAGGGAAACGGGAGGAGGAACGGGGAGAGAGGGGAGAGAGGGGAGATGGAGAGAGGAACTGGGAGAGATGGAGAGAGCGGAGAGAGCGGACAGACGTACCGGGGTGCGGTACGGCCCCAGCGTGCGGCACTGCGGGCAGCGGGGACGATGGCGCAGCGGCTGCGCTGTGCTGGGCAGCGGGCACGGGGGAGAGCCGGCTGCTCGGGGGGCACAGGGCAGAGCCGGCTGTTCGGCACAGAGGGACAGATGTGCGGGGCCCAGATGCAGATGTTCGGGGTTCACAGCGGCAGAGGTTCGGTGCACAGAGGATGGGCACAGAGCTTTGCAGTACGAGGGCAGAGGTGCAGCTGTTCGGGGTGTAGAGGTGCCCGGTACAAGGTGCAGATGTGTCCAGCTGTGTGCAGCTGTGCCCAGCACACAACCAGAGCCGTCCCCACCCCTCCCTGCTGCCGTGAACCCAGCAGGAGCGGTGGCACCGGTTCCCTTCTGCAGACCCTGTCCCCGTCCCTGCCCATCCGCAGTGACACCGCTGCCCTCGGTGCCCTGCCCCGGTGGCACTGGCGCTGTTGTGGCCGCGGTGGGCGCAGCCCCTCGCTCCCGCAGCACCTCCAAGCCCTTCCCACCCCCGATCCGCCGGGATTTGGCCTCTCCCTTTGTTTCTGGATGCGGTCGGTGACGCACGTGGGGCACAGACCCGAGGGGCAGCTCCGGGGCGCTGCCAGAGCTCTGCCGCGCTGCTCACAGCAGCGATGACGGCAGCGAGAGGGACAATCACAACAGTGCTGATAACGATATCGATAACGAAACGAGCGCATCTCCTCAGCACGGTCCTGTTCCGGGGCTGATCCCCGTTCCCGGGGCTGATCCCCGTTGCGGGGCTGATCCCGATCCGCTCCCGGCGATGCTCCCGGGAATGAGCCTCCCAGGACCCTCAGTTCCCGTCGGCTGTCCCGCAGGCCGGGCAGGGCTGGGGACACGTCCCGCTCTTATCCCACCAGAAACAACCCGATTTTAAAGGCTAATAAACATCCTTTCAAAGGTTCGGATGCCTATAAAAGTGCCCGCTGAGCGCAGCCCGAGCCCAGAGCTCGGGGCGGTGTCCCGGGAGCCTCTCCCGGCTGCTGGGGCCGCTTTTCCTGCAGCCCACCCTCCTGTCCGAGAGCACAGCGCTCGTTCCGCGGCTCCGCAGAGGTTCTGGGCTGGAACCGATCGGGACCGGCCACGTCCCGGGGCGCGCCGGGGCCGCTGGAGCCGCGGCCCGAGCGGGAGCACGGAGGTTATCCTCGGGAATAAAGGGCTGTTCCCTGCCCGCGCTGCTGCTCGATGCTGTCGCGGCCCACGGGGTGATCACAGCCCCGGCCGGGGCGGGCAGGGGCGATGCGGGCGCGGAGCTGCTCCACCCTCGCTGTGTTTACCCCAAACACAGCGGGGCCGCGGGCGGCCGCCCCTTAAAGCGCGGCGGGTGCGGGGCAGAGCGGAGCCGCGGCGGCCGAGCGGGCACACGCTGCAGGCGGGCTCGGCCTCCCGCTGCCCGTATCGATATTGGTAAGGAGGGATTGATGTCAGTAACAGAGATCCCTATTGAAAAGGGAGGATCCCTATTGCTAAGGGGGGTCCCTATCGATAAGGGAGTCCCTATTGATAAGGGGGTCCCCATTGATAAGGGGGGGTCCTTATAGATAAGAGGGTCCCTGCCGGCTCCCAGCAGCTCCCCCGGGGATATCGGGTTCCAGGCCGGGCAGGCGAGGGCAGCTCCCCTTGCCCAGCCCGGGGGGCTCCTCCCGGAGCCCCAGGGGACCCCCGAGCCCAGCCCTGCCGGGGTCGCTGCCCGGGCCCGGAGCGCCCCTGGCCGCCCTCCCTCGTGCCGCGGGGCCCGGGCCGGGCTGGCACGGCCGGGAGCGCGGCCGAGCCTGCGCTGCTCCCGCAGGAGGAGGGGGCGGCCAGGCGCTGTCCCTGGACGCCAGCCTGCTGCGGGGACACACGGAGCGCTGCGAGACCTTCGGCAACCCCCCGCTCTGCCGGGAGAACTTCCAGGTGCAGCTCCTGGAGGTGTGGGGCTTCCAGAGCGCCTAGCCGCCCCGGGACACCCCCTGTGCCCCCCGGGCACGGGCACGGGGACCCCCGGCCGGGCTGCGGCCGCCGGAGCGGCAGCGCCGCTCTGCAGCGTCCCCTCGGGGCAGAGAGGGCACGGCAGAGCCGGGCACAGCGGGGCACAGCGGGGCAGAACAGACTGGATCAGAACAGATCAGATGGGATCAGACCGGACCAGATCGGCCTCGTGGTGCTGCAGAGTGCCAGGACCGGGACTGCAGACCCGGCCCAGTCCACCCAGTCTGGCCCAGTTTGGGGTGCTGGGGGGGAGGGCAGCCCGGCTGGAGTTTCTCACACCTCCCTGGCCTGTCTGCAGCGTGGGGCTCGGCAAGCTGGGACAGCACGGGCAGATTTTGTGGGAATTCTGAGGCCAGGCTCCAACACCGATCTCCAGAGCTCAGCAGAAATGCTCCCAGATCCTCTTCCCCCAGCCCCAAGCCCAGCACAGCCCTCCAGGCCACCAGGGAGTTTTGCAGCCTCCGTGGGCATCCAGCACTGCCCAGGATCCACCAGCACCGGCAGAGACTCCTCTTGTCCCTGGCTGGAATTGGCAAAGCCCTGCCTGGTGTTTAGGGGGTGCCCGAGCTCTGCTGAGCCTTTGCCATGCTGAAAGGGACCCTGAAAGGGATCCTTTCTTCTCTCCCTTTATTCCATTGCTGAATAAAGTTCTGAGCTCTTGGAGAATTCCAAAAAAGTCCAGCACAAAGACACGGTGGGGGAGCAGCGGGGCCGGGAGGTGGAGGGGACGTGTGATGGGGTACAAAGAGATCTGGGACCTGCTCGCACTTCCCTGCAGAGGGTCAGCACCCCAAACCCTCACCCTGTGTCCCCCCAGCACCTCAGCCCCTCACCCCACAGCCCCAGGGCCCCCCAGCCCTGCCACCCCTGCCCATTTCCCTTGGCCACAGGTCTTTACTGAAATCCAAGGAATCTTCAGTCCCCGTGTGCCCCTGCTCCACCAGCGCATCCCTTTGGGGCATTTCTGCTCCTCGTCCCCACAGAAGAGTCTCAGAGCAGCACAGGGACCCGCCTGGCTCTCTGTTCCTTTGGGACACTGCCGGGGTTGGCACAAAAAGAGCAGCCCAGGGGCATTAACCAAGGGACAATCCCACCCTGCAGGGCTGGGTCATCCCGTGCCCCCGCAGAGATGAGGGTCGATTGGCCACTGGCTGGTACCACAGATAGCTACAAAAAGCACATTTAGTGACGGGCAGAGCTGATTTCCCGGGAGATCTGGGGGCTGCGGATGCCCGGCTCCTCCGGAGGGCCGGGCTGGGCAATGCCCACCCTCCGCACGAGGGGGCAGCGCCAGGTCCTGCGCTCCTGTGCACTGCGCTGTAACAGGCACGGCTCACAGTGTCCCCACATCCCCGCGCCACCCCAGAACCGACTCCCACGGGGCTGTCTCGGGAGAGGAGCGTCCAGGGATGGTTTGGGGTGAAGGGGGAGAAGGAGAGACGCGTGGGGTGGGAGTGACAGGCGCTGCTGCCAGCCTCCTCCTCCTCCTGCTGCTGCTGCCCGCAGCAGACATTTCTGCCCAAAGCCAGCATTCCGGAGTGCACAAACGCTCTCCTTTCCTCCTTCTCCTCTCCTTTCCTTCCTCCCTGCCCTCTTCCCTCGCTCTCACCAAATGCAGCTTCCAGAGCCTTGAAATGGGAAACCCACGGGCCCCACGTCTTCTTGGAGAAGGTCCTGGTCCGTTTTTGTCTCCCACCACTGTCGGATCCATTTCCATCCTTCCCCTTTCCCTCTCCCAGCTCGGTGCAGTGATTCCCCTCCCACCCACCTGCTGCACACCCCAGCAATTCCTTGTCACCACACTGTCCCCAGCTCCTCGTGGAGCCACATTTAGTGTCCTATGGCAGAGATTTCCAGCTGGAGCCGAGCCTGCAGTGCCACAGGAGGGGTTTTGCAGATGTTTTCTTCCAGTCGAACCCACATTTATCCAAACAAACGTGTTTCCATCCTTGTTTCCACACAATTTAGCCCCTGGAATTGCTAACCCCGGGCCAAGGGTTGGTTTTATTTCCCCCCTGCAGAGCTGGGTGATTCCACAAGGCATCTCTGGGCTTTTCCTGGGAAATGCAGCAGGGACTGGGTGTGTAAAATCCCCCTGCGGTGCCCTGCAGAGCAGAGCTGCCCCGGGCTCAGCAGGGTCTGCTGCTCCCGAGGGGTCTGGGATGGGCACTGCCCGTCCCAGAGGGAATTCCCCTCTGGAGGGGAGCTGGGCCATGCAGCCCCCGGGACTGTCCCTCCCTCCCTGGGGGATTGTTTTCAGCACTTTATTGCAATTTATCTGAAAAACACAATCCCAGAACGGTTTGGGCTGGAGGGGACCTTAAAGCCCACGCAGTGCCACCCCTGCCATGGCAGGGACACCTCCCCCTGCCCCAGGCTGCTCCAGCCCCAGTGTCCAACCTGCCAGGGCTGGGGCGTTCCAAAGATGCGTTGTAGTGAGCAAACATCACCCTTTATCCCTAAACCTTGCTCACACTGGGAATTATGAGCCCCTGGCTCCCCGTGAAACTCCAAACCTGGAAACCACAGCCCCCCACGGGGAGTTTATCTTTGAAGAAAGGGTTTAGATCTGCTGGGGGAGGCAAAGATGTTTATTGAAAATAAGTCGGGTCAACCTTAAAGGAACTCTGCTTTCAGATACAGAACGCGTTTCTTCCCTCGGGCTGATCTGAAGATTCCTTTGTTTCTGTTTTGAGAAGGAGTGGCAGAGCACTTCAGTGGGTGATGATGATGCTCCTTGTTTTCCACCTACGTGGAATTATCTGTACGTGCATTTCTGGGAGCTCTGTGAATACTGGGATAAACAACAAAATTGGTTTTGATCCCCGTCACAGCCGAGCGGCTCCAAGGCTGCCGAGGCAAACGGGGATGCACCACTGGAAATGCATTTCCAAAGGCTTGATTTGCACTGAAAGAAAATGAAAATATACATTTGAAGGAGGTGAGCTGGAAGAGTTCACCGGAGATCAGAGCAGGACAAAGAGCAAATATTCCTGCAGGGGAAGGGGTGGGCAGGCAGGGTTTCTGATGGTGTTTGTATTTATCATCACACTTCAAAGCAGCGGGTTCTTGCTGCAAGGAGTAAATAATGAATGGAGATATTTTTAACCTCCTACACAGCCCCTGGGTTGCATCCACGAGAGGTCTGGCAGCAGACAGAGCACTGGTGGGGCTGCTGGGGCAATGAGAGCAGCCCCAAGATCTCCCTTTACTCGGGGGGACCCAGAGCAGAGCTGGGCAGGACAGGAGAACAATTATGGGGTTAAAGTGGAAATCAAACCCTGGGGAGCTCTGGGGGACCGGGCTGGGACAGCTGGGGGGCTCACCTGGAGGAGACGAGACCCCAGGGAGAGCTCAGAGCCCCTGCCAGGGCCTGGAGGGGCTCCAGGAGGCACTCGGGAAAGAGAGGGGACACAGGGGATAGAGAGGACACAGGGACAGAGGGACAGAGGGGACACAGGGGATAGAGAGGACGCAGGGACAGAGGGACAGAGGGGACACAGGGGATAGAGAGGACGCAGGGACAGAGGGACAGAGGGGACACAGGGGATAGAGAGGACGCAGGGACAGAGGGACAGAGGGGACACAGGGGATAGAGAGGACGCAGGGACAGAGGGACAGAGGGGACACAGGGGATAGAGAGGACGCAGGGACAGAGGGACAGAGGGGACACAGGGGATAGAGAGGACGCAGGGACAGAGGGACAGAGGGGACACAGGGGATAGAGAGGACGCAGGGACAGAGGGACAGAGGGGACACAGGGACAGAGGGGACACAAGGAACACAAGGGACATAAGGGGCACAGGGAACAGAGGGGCACAGGGAATGCAGGGAACGGAAGGAACATAGGGAATATGGAACACAAGGGACACAGGAACACTGGGAACACTGGGAACACTGGGGACACAGCGAACAGAGGAATGCAGGGGACACTGGGAACACAGGGAGCAGTCCTCCCCCTGCCCTGCGTCTGGGTTAGCTCTTAGCCCTGCCGTGCTCTCCTGTGCTCCAGGGCTGTGTCCAAGGGCCCTCCTCCAGGATCCAGGCAGGCTGCAGAGGCAGTTCCTGCAGGGACAAGGGGCAGTGCTCACTGCAGGGCTGGTGAGGCCCTGGAACAGAGAGGCTGTGGACTCTCCATCCCTGTAAATGTCCCAGGCCAGGCTGGACAGGGCTTGAAGCAGCCTGGGACACTGCAAGGTGTCCCGGTCCATGGCAGGGGTGGCTCTGGATGGGCTTTAAGGTAATTTCCAACCCAAACCATGCCAGGATTCTCAGGTTCCAGGTGCTACCAGCCTGGTCTGGAATTCCCCAGATCTGCAGAAGCAGCTGGAGCAGGAGCTGTGGGGCTGGTGCCTCCTCAGCCTCTCAGGTGATCCTCTTCCCTACAGCTCAGGTAACTTTAAAGCATTTTTACAATAGGAGGGGACTCTATTTTTGTATTTCCTGTCATGGATTTACCAGATCCCCCCAACAGCCCCCACAGCACTGAACAAATGGGTCTGACTCGTTCAGGGGGAGCAGGGGTTTGCTGTTCCTTTCAGACTGGCGTGAGGGATTCCCCACTTCTGAGAATCACCTTGGCTGTTGTTCCAACACTTCCACGTTGTCGCTGCCACCTTTCCCCGAGGCTCCTGGCACAGCCTGGCTGGGATCTGCTCACTTTTTCTCTCTGCTTTCACTCCATCTCTCTTCCCTTCCCCCCTCTGCCCTGCCTTTAATGAATGACTTGTTGTGTAAATTCAGTCTTCTGTGTTTATTTTAATTTGTCTGCTCCTGATTAAGGAAAAATTCAGCTCCAACTCGTGGCATTTACTGGGAAGCTCATGGAGCCAAGCTTCTAACCCCACGTTCTGAAAGGAACTCAGGGATGCTGGGGCTGCTCCTTTTGCAGTGTCCAATTTAAATCTCTGTCAAGGAGCTGGTTCTGGAGAGTGCAGCCACTGCTGGAAGTGCCTGGGTGTTTGCAGCCTGGCACACAGGCCTGATTCCACAAGTGCTTATTCCTAGCCCACTATCACATTTGGGATTGAAAGCAACAGCTCTCAGGTGCTGTTTGTGCAGAGATCAGGCAGCACTGGGAACTGCACGTGAAGGGTTTCTGTGCAGGCACTGGAGACCTGGGAGAATTCTGCCATCAATTAAAATGCAGCAGAACGCTGCAGCCCTTAATGCTGAGGATCTGAGATGTTTTAGTTAATGGAGATGGTTTTTCTCTACACCTGCTCTGACAGTTCTGGGAGGCAGTGGGGACAGGCATTTAAAGGTGTGAGCAGAGTGCAGGAGCTCCTGCAGCCCGGGTTTATCTGCTGCTCTCCCATTCCAAACCGACGGAGCGTGGCCAGCTCTGTTCACCAGCCTGAGCCCTGCAAGAGCAGAATTTCCCTGCCTCGGTGCTGTCCCTCCTCAAAGAGACTCCCAAAAAAGGCAGGCCCCATGCATCTTTCATGGGGCACTAAATAACTCACTCTGCTATCTATAATTCAATCCGAGCTGCACAGACTGAGGAGGGGGGGTTCCAAGGGGGGAGATTTCTCTGCCTGCCTTGAGCCCAAAACCTGCTGCAGGCAGGGAGGGGGCAGGGAAGGGGCAGGGAGGGGGCAGTGCCAGCCCAGGCCCCTCTCCAGCCCCACCCGGGCTCCCCCAGCTGCCCCCAGGCCGGGAGCAGGACGGGGCTGTTGAAAGCACGTTTCCACTCCACAGCACAGATGTTCCCAGCCCGTGCCAAGAGAGCGGGAGAGGCTCAAAGAAAGCAAACATTGTCCCAGGGCAGAGCACAGCCAGCAGGGAGGAAGGTTTCTCTTTTTTTGCTGTTATTATTATCACGATGATTTGGCAGCGTGGAAATGGGTTTCTCACGGGCCTGAGTCAGTTCAGCTCAGATCTATTCAGGATTTTATCCTGAAATCCAAGTGCCTCCCTGGCACAGGGACTCATGTCCATGCCAGGGCTGTCCTGTCCCCGTGTCTCCCTAATCCAGCCCAAACCCTCTGTGTTTTCACATCCATCCCGGCTGTCTGGTGTCCTGGGCGGTCCATGCCATAACAACAAGGAATTTTCCATCACAGGGACCAAGCTTTTCCATCCTTCCCTTGTGTTTGATGCTCACATTTTGCCCACCCCACATTTGCTCTGAAGCCGAAGCAGGAAATGGCAGCTGGAGAGGCAGGAGCTGGAGAGAGCCAGGAGATCCCAAAAAAGGCATTTTAGGGAGAAAGTGCTGACGCAACCCAGCAGTGCCGGATGCTGCAGCGTTGATAAATATTTGATTTAGCCTGAATAGGAAGGCATCACTTTCAGAACGACCTGAAAAAGAGGGAAGATGACAGCTACAGTGCCACTGAAAGGCAGATTCACACGGTGAGCATTCCTGAGGCTCACTCTGCTGTGCAGACTGCCTTACATCGGAATGAACTGCAGTTACCTGTGGGAAAGGCACCTCTGCCTGCTCCAGGCTGGGGGGAAGCACTGAGGGCACGGGATGCCTCTGCCTGTGCTTGGAAAGGCCCTGACCAGTTTTCAGTGGTTGGCTGACTGTGCTGTCAGAATTCCTGCACTGACATCACCGGGGACAGCTGGGGGTGCTGACAGGATCCCAGGAAAAATGCTCTCACTACCCAGTACTTCCTAATCCTGGCAGGATTGGGGTTTTTGGCATGACTGAGTTTTGCTCTCTCATTTTAGAGCCGTTTCCCTTGGCTGTGTTTGCCAGCTCTCCCTTCCCATCCATCCCCCTCCAACAAACACCAGGTTCTGACCCAGCTCTCCGTTCAGCTCCTGCCTCTGCACTCTCCACTCCCCTCACTCTTCTTGAGGCTTTCCTCACTTTCCTTAAGGAGTTGCTTTGGGTTCCTGGCTGCCCCAGCCCAGCAGGGGCCCTGCCCGGGCTCCCTCTCTCCCTCCCTGCCTTGCAGCTCTGGCTCGCGTGGGATGCTCGGGGCTCGAGTGTGCAGCCAAAAGCGGCCAGAGAGAAACAACAAGTGCTGTTCTCTTCAGTGAGCCGGGAGCTGCTCTAGATAAACCCATTCTTCCCACGCTGCAGGAAGCACAGCCTGCCCTTGTTGGAGAATTCAGGGAGGAAAGGCCCCACGGCCCCACACGGGCGCCCTGGCAGATCCCAGTTTCCATCTCCCGGGGTCTGCAGCGGGGTTTGCAGTGGGTGCTGCTGGAGCAGGGCCCAGGTTGGAACCCCCCATTTTGTGACCCAGTGCCAAGGAACTGTCATTATGTCCCCAAACCTCAGCGTGGAGGGTGCGGAGGTGACTGCTGTGCCGCTATCTCAGCTCGGAGCTGGGGCATCCCACGGTGACGCTGTGACACCCTGAGGGATGCTGGGCCAGCAGGGCAGCACCCGAGGAGCAGGGACGGGACAGAGGGAAAGCCGCAGAGGGACAGGGGGACGGCCCAGCCCGGCTGATAGCGGCACGGAGGGACAGAGGGACGGCCCAGCCCGGCTGATACCGGCACGGAGGGACAGAGGGATGGCCCAGCCGGGCTGATAGCGGCACGGAGGGGACAGAGGGATGGCCCAGCGCGGCTGATACGGGCACGGAGGGACAGAGGGACGGCACAGCCCGGCTGCTACCGGCACGGAGGGACAGAGGGACGGCCCAGCCCGGCTGATAGCGGCACGGAGGGACAGAGGGATGGCCCAGCCGGGCTGATAGCGGCACGGAGGGGACAGAGGGATGGCCCAGCGCGGCTGATACAGGAGCGGAGGGGACAGAGGGATGGCCCAGCGCGGCTGATACAGGAGCGGAGGGGACAGAGGGATGGCCCAGCCGGGCTGATACAGGAGCGGAGGGGACAGAGGGATGGCCCAGCCCGACTGATACCGCCACTGAGGGGACAGAGGGATGGCCCAGCGCGGCTGATACAGGCGCGGAGGGCTGGCTGGTACCCGGGGTGATGCTGGGGACACCGGGGCGGGCGGGGCACGGCCGCCCGTGCCGCCAGCGGCGCCTCCCCGCTCCCCCCGCCTCCGCTCCGCTCCCTCTTCCTCCTCCTCCCGTCTCCCTCTCCCGAGCCAGCCCGGCCGGGGGAGGAGCCGGCCGCGCACAAAACCTCCCGCCCGGCCCCTCCGGGCCCCGCACGGCACCGGCACCGGCGGCGCCCAGCGCCCGCCAGCGGGCGGCGGGGAGCGGCCGCCGGGCGCGCAGGGGCTGCGGAACCACGGCAACACCTGCTTCATGAACGCCGTGGTGCAGTGCCTGAGCAACACGGCGCCGCTGGCCGAGCGCCTGGCGCTGGGCCGGTACCGCGCCCGCGGAGCCCGCGCCGAGGTCACGCAGCGGCTGGCGGCCCTGGTCCGGGCGCTCTGGACCCGCGAGTACACCCCGCAGCTCTCCGCCGAGTTCAAGGTACCGAGCGGCCCCCGCGCGACCCCAGCTCGCCCTGGCCCCAGCGGCATCCCCAGCTGCAGCGGCACACCGGGACACAGCACCCGGCATGCCCCGCTCACAGCTCCCTCCAGCCCCCCGGACCCACTGACACCCTTCCCAGCCCCCCAAACCCACTGACACCCTTCCCAGAGCCCCAGACCCACTGACACCCTTCCCAGCCCCCCCAGACCCACTGACACCCTTCCCAGCTGACATCACAGGACCCTGCCCTGCCAGACACCCCCAGCCCTGTTGCTGTCACCTCCCTGTGTCCTGGCCGCTGTCCCCGCAGCTCCCGCGGGTGGCTGAGCTCCCAGCCCCGGCCGTGCCACTGAGGGTGAGCTGGTGCCAGCTGTGATCGCGGCTAAGGCAGGATGTTGTCCCTGAATTCAGTGGCCTCAGGCTCTGTCCCTGAGCGTGTGTGACGCCTCTGCCGGGCACATGCCAGTGTGCCAGGGGACAGGGTGCCAGGGGCATCACAGCACGTCCAGTCTGGCATCGCAGCTCCCCACGCCCAGGGACACGTGTCCCTGCCCGAGTGACATTTATTGGTGCTGCCAGCAAACTGCTGCTGCCTCTGAACTTTGCGAAGTGCCCGGGGGAGCTCCGGGAAGCCGAGCCCTGCCCCGGGATGGGCCACACGGAGTTGATGCCATCGGTGCGCTCGGGGCAGGCGGGACCTGAGGGTCCCCATGGCTGAACTTGCCCGTCTGGACCTCATTGCGGTTTTCCCTGTGTCCCCTCCTGGCCCCTGGAAGCTGGGACACCCCAGAGCCTCTGTCTCTGTCCCCACTGCTCTGCTGGCCCCGGGGTGGCCGTGATGTCCCTGCAGAGGCAGGCCGAGGGCACAGGCTGTTGCAGGGATGGAGCAGGGATGGTTTTGGGGTGGGTGCTGATCAAGAACCCGTTCATCAGGCTCGCCCCGCCCGTGTCTTGCAGAACATCGTCTCCAAGCACAGCTCGCAGTTCCGGGGCAGCGCTCAGCACGACGCGCTCGAGTTCCTGCTCTGGCTGCTGGACCGAATGCACGAGGACCTGGGCGCCGCCTCCCCCGCCCAGCAGAGCCGCGGCCCCGCGCAGGTGGGTGCCCCCGGCTCGGGGGAGGCGTTCGGGGCAGGTCCGGGGCCAGGGGCACCGGGATGCGCTGCCAGGCGGCGGGATGGAGCTGGGCCCCGCCCGGTGGGGATGGGAGGCTGCGGTTCGGTCGGTGCGCGGCTGAAAGGACGGTGGGAGCCGAGTGCTGCGGGGCTGGGCAGGGGTTGGAGTGCTGGGAGTGTGGGGGTGTCGGCAGGAGCCCATCCAGCTGAGCATCTCTGGGGGCATCCTGGGCCTTGGTGAGGAGGAGACGCAGCCCCCCCCGTCCCTCCCTGCCTCCAGCTAAGCCCGCTGTAATTACAGCTCGGCGGCTTTGCTGCTGGCAAAATGAGTAATTAAGTCTTCCTCAATCCATCTGCGCTCAGGCATTGCCCTGGCCCTGGCCCTGGTCCTCCCTGCCTCCTCCTGCCTCCTCCTGCCCGCTCCTTCCCTCTCCTTCCCCGCCTGCTGCTGCCCGCCGGGCACCGCCTGTTGCAGGAGATGGATTTGAGCTGTTTGACCCGTGAGCTCATCCCCGCCTGCTGCTGCCCGCCGGGCACCGCCTGTTGCAGGAGATGGATTTGAGCTGTTGCTGTTTGACCCGTGAGCTCAGCTCAGCATGGAGCTGTCCCTGCTCTGGGGTGACACTCTGCCCAGCACGGAGCTGTCCCTGCTCTGGGGTGACACTCTGCCCAGCACGGAGCTGTCCCTGCTCTGGGGTGACTCCCATCTTGGGCTCAGGGAGCCCGGGAGCAGCTCCCCCTCCCTGTGCCCACCTTGGGGTGCTGTGGCTGTGCCGAGGGTGCGGGTTGGGGTCCTGGGCAGACCCTGCCCAGCCTCCAGCACATCTCTGTCCCTCAGGGAGAGCTCGGCTGTGGTGCCCATCTCCAGCGCCTCTGGAGAGGCTGCACTGCCCGACCCGGGCCCTGCAGCCATCCCTGCACTGGCCTGAGCTGTCCTCAGCCCTGCCACCTTTCCCTGGGGCATTTGGATGTCCCAGCTTTTTTGGGAGAGCCCGGCAGCTCCTGTTAGATGTCAGGTGCTCACGTGTGCCACGAGCTGTGGTGTGACACCGGCTGTGCCACCTGGAGGCTGTGTCACCTGGCTCTGGGGAGGACCCTTTCTGTGTCCCTCTGCACCCGTGGTTTTGCCTGGCACCCCCAGTTTTGGCTCCTTTTGGTGATGCCACCCACATGGCCCCGGGACCCTTTCTGTGTCCCTCTGCACCCGTGGTTTTGCCTGGCACTCCCCAGTTTTGGCTCTTTTTGGTGATGTCACCCACATGGCCCCCTCCTTGGGGAGGGATGCCCGGCAGGGGAGTGACCCTCAATAAATGGCTGGGAATGTCTGGGGTGAGGAGGGACCAAAGTGGGGACCAAGGCTTGGCTGCCAGGAGAGCTGGAGGAGGAGGCACCCCTTGGATTTCTGGGGAATTCTGGGGGCCCTGTAAGGCACAGACACCATCCAGGTCCCCTCTCAGCCACACCAGATGGACCCCAGTGCCAGGCAGACCGTCAGGACACGTCAGGCTCAGCAGGACCTGCTGCCAGCAGATGGCATTGAGGAAAATCCACCTCTTGGCCAAAATCCTCTGTGATTTTCAATCTTACTCATCGAGACATCACAAAGTCACTGTCTTACCCCAGAACAGCCCAGGTTTTATACCGACACTGCCTGGAGGCACAGCAGTGCCAGGCAGGCAGGTGTCAGAGTCTCTGTGGCATCACCTTCAGCCCATCCTCATGCCGTAGGGACACCAAAGCTGGGCTCGGTTCACTAGGATGTGTCCCTGACCCCCTGAAGGACATGTCCCTCACCCTGTCACCTCATTCACCACTTGTCTCTTGCCCCTGCAGCCTGGCAAGGACGGGAGCAGCGGTGCCAGCAGGTCCCCCCCAGGCACCCAGCACCCCCGTGGGCAGAGCTTCGTGCAGAGCCACTTCCAGGCCCAGTACAGGTCAGTGGGACACGGATCCTGCACACGGGGTCTTTGCCTATCTGTGAGCCCTGGGGGGGCACTGTGAGCCCAGGGAAGGGATGAAACGGGGAGGATCTCCATCCATCCATCCATCCATCATCCATCCATCCATCCATCCACCCCAGCTATGGGAACTCCTTCCCCCACAAGCAGTTTAAAGTGTCCAAGGCCAGGTTGGACAGGGCTGGAGTGACCTGCTCCAGTGGCAGTGCCCCTTCCCACGGTGATGTCCCTGCGCACGGCAGTGCCCTGCCCATGGCGGTGCCCCTGCCCTTTGAAGGTCCCTCACAACCCAAACCATGCTGTGCTTCTCCACAGGACTCAGGGTTGTCCCATCACCCCAGCACGAGGGTGCTCCACTATGGTGCCCTGCCCATGGCGGTGCCCCTGCCCACAGTGACATCCCTGCCCATGGCGGTGTCCCTGCCCTTTGAAGGTCCCTCACACCCCAAACCACGCTGTGCTTCTCCACAGGACTCGGGGTTGTCCCAGCACCCCAGCACGAGGGTGCCCCACTATGGGACACCCCAGCCCCTCATCTGCCTGGCACTCGTGGGAAGCTCAGGCCACCCTGTCCCCAAGCCACGGCACCGCAGGCAGCAGGGGACACATCTGGCATCACAAGCCCTTCCTCCTCTCTCAATTAATCCCTCGGCCTATATATGAAAAAGGCACTTTAATTATCCCTGGTCCACGTGCCAGAGCTGTCTGTGCGCTAAAGGATTTGTTAATTTGTGAGGCTGTTTCCCAGGGAGCTCAGTGGCTCTTCAAGGTGACAAATAACGAGGACTTGGGATTTTGCTTTGGATTTTAATTTATTTTTCCCTTTTTGTTGAACAAAAAGGCAGTGGAAAAAAGAAATTAGAAAGAAACAAACAAACAAAACAACCCCACCCCCAAAAACCCCGAAACAAAACAAAAAACCCCAAAAAACTCCAAAAAAACGAATTAAGAAGGATCAGCAGTAGGTGGCTGCTGGTGCCAGGGATGATGGGTTTGGGCTGTGGTACCTGATGTGATGGGTTTGGGCTGTGGCACCCGGGACCTGCCCCAGGGTGGGCTCTCGGGGGGCTGTGCCCGCTGTGCTGACGCTGCCCGTCCATGTGCCAGGTCCTCCCTGACGTGCCCTCACTGCCTGAAGCAGAGCAACACCTTCGACCCCTTCCTGTGCATCTCCCTGCCCATCCCGCTGCGCCAGACCAGGTGAGCCCGCGGGACGGCAGCTCCGACCAGAGAAATTTGCATTTTTTTGGTAAATAACGAGCACGGAGGCGGCGGTGTCCGCTGGGTGTGTGCCACGCGGGGCTGCCCCGGTGCCCGCCGCGCTGAGCTGTGTCCCCGCGGTGTCCCCAGGGCTCTGAACGTCACGCTGGTGCTGCAGTGCGAGCGCTGGCGCTTCGTGCGCGTGGGCCTGGCCGTGCCGCTGCTGGGCACCGTGGCCGACCTGCGGGAGATGGTGGCGCGGAGACGCAGCGTTAAAGTGGAGCAGGTAACGGGGAGCGGGGGGCAGGTAATGGGGAGCGGGGAGTGGGGAGCAGGTAACGGGGAGTGGGGAGCAGGTAATGGGGAGCGGGGGGCAGGTAATGGGGAGCAGGAAGCAGGTAACGGGGAGCGGGGGGCAGGTAATGGGGAGCGGGGAGTGGGGAGCAGGTAACGGGGAGTGGGGAGCAGGTAATGGGGAATAGGGAGCGGGGAGCAGGTAACGGGGAGCGGGGAGCGGGGAGTGGGGAGCAGGTAACAGGTAATGGGGAGCGGGGGGCAGGTAACGGGGAGCGGGGAGTGGGGAGCAGGTAACAGGGAATAGGGAGCGGGGAGCAGGTAATGGGGAGCGGGGGGCAGGTAACGGGGGCCGTTCCGCGCGGTGCTGAGCGCCCGTCCCGCAGGTGATCCTGGCCGAGGTGTCCCCGCGGGGCCTCCTGCGCTCGCTGTCCGACCCCGAGGCGCTGCGGGCGGCCGGCGAGGCCGCGCCCGTCTACGCCTTCCAGCCACCGCCCGCCCGGCGCGCAGGTACCGCCGCGCGCAGCGATTGGCTGCGGCTGCCGCCCGCCCCGCGCCGATTGGCTGCGGCTGCCGGCCCGCCCTGCGCGGATTGGCTGAGGGCTCCCGGGCTGTGCTGGGATTGGCGCTGGGCGGGGGGGTGGGGGGGGGAAAACGGCCCCGTGATTGGCGGGAGGGAGTGGATCCCTCACTGTGATTGGTGGGAGGTGGTGGATCCCTTCATTGGGATTGGTGGGGCACTGGATCCTCCCTGCTGTGATTGGTCAGAGGCAGCTGCACCACACTGGGAATGGGGGAGGCAGTATGTGCTGGGATTGGTGGGAAATGGATCTCTTTGGCTGGGATTGGTGGGAGCCGTGTCCTCTCTGCTGGGATTGGTGGAAATGGTGGTGCTGGGTGGGGCTGTGGCACTAATTAACCCAGCTCTAACGAGACCCTCTCATTTCCCGGCCCTCAGGGTGTCCCCGCAGCCTCCCCACGTCCCCCGCAGTGCCGCGGCCGGAGGGGCCGTGCCTGCTGCCCAGCGCCGCCCGCTCCTCCGACTGCCTGCACCGCGCGCCCGGCGGCCGCATCCTGCTGCTGCTCTGCAACACGGCGGGCACGGGGCCGCAGCTCGCCAGGTACCGTCACCCGCCTGTCACCCGCCTGCCACCCGCCTGCCACCCGCCTGCCACCCGCCTGTCACCTGCCTGCCACCCGCCTGCCACCCGCCTGTCACCTGCCTGCCACCTGCCTGCCACCCTGTCCTACCCACTCCCCGCCCGTGTGACACCCAACCACGTGCCCCTGCTGCCTGTGCCCAGGTTCGGGCCGCCGCTGGTGCTGCGGGAGGAGCGCGGCGTCTCCTGGGAGCAGCTCCAGCAGAACATCCTGGCCCAGCTGAGGGGGGTCCTGCGGGGAGAGGTCCGGCCACAGGTGAGCCCAGCCCTGTCCCCTCAAAGCCATCAGATTTTCGGGGCTGGTTTTGCTGCGTGTCCCAAAGCCTGGCTTGGCCAGGTGCTGCTGCTGGGCAGGGGATCAGCTGAGGGGGGTCCTGCGGGGAGAGGTCCGGCCACAGGTGAGCCCAGCCCTGTCCCCTCAAAGCCATCAGATTTTCGGGGCTGGTTTTGCTGCGTGTCCCAAAGCCTGGCTTGGCCAGGTGCTGCTGCTGGGCAAGGGATCCCTGTCCCCTGGTGACCCCACAGCCCCCTCTCCCCTCACAGGGCACGGGAGCCCTTTTCCGGATCCGCCTGGCCGGGGGCTCGGCCCCCTGCACCTACCTGTCCCCTCAGGATCCCCGTCCTCTCTGCCACCCTGCCATCGACAGGTAAGGGGCTGCAGGGACTGTCCCCAGGATGTCCCCTCAACCCCTGGGGCCAGCCAGTGGCATCACCATGTGTCACACACGGCATCACGGTGTCCCTGTGCATGGCTGTGTTGTCACCAGGGGTGGCCAGCGGTGACACCTTGGGTAGCCACAGTGGTGTCACTCTGCTGCCCCAGCACTGGGTCCCTGGCCCAGAGTTCCCACTGTGGGAGGTGGTGGCTGTCCACCATGGGAGGAGGTGTCCCCATGGGGACAGGGGTTACATCTCACCCTGTCCTCCCCTCAGGGCCCTGCAGCTCTGCGGGGCCGGGGGCCCTCCCCACGTGAGGCTGACTGTGGAGTGGGACACGAGCACCAAAGAACGGTGAGTCCCCTGTGCCCGGGCTGGGAGGACACCCCGGCACTCGGGTCACCCTCGCTGGTGGGTGACACGTCCCCCCAGGCTGTTTGGGAGCATCCAGGAGGAGGTGGTGCAGGACGCGGAGAGCGTGTGGCAGCAGCAGCAGGCGCACGGGCAGCAGCACAGCTGCACCCTGGACGAGTGCTTCCAGCTCTACACCAAGGAGGAGCAGGTACGGGCACCCCGGGCAGGCCCACGCCCTGCCCACCCCTGGCACAGGGGCTGCTGGCGCTTGCAGTGCCGGGGTGGCTCTGCAGGTGGCGGGGCTGACAGGGAGGGAGGTGGCCATGACGTGGTGTCCCCAGCTGGCCCCGGACGATGCCTGGCGCTGCCCGCACTGCAAGGTGCCCCAGCAGGGCACGGTGAAGCTCAGCCTGTGGACGCTGCCCGACATCCTCATCATCCACCTGAAGCGCTTCCGGCAGGTGGCCGAGCAGCGGCACAAGCTCACCACGCTGGTGAGGTTCCCGCTGCGGGGGCTGGACATGGCCCCGCACGTGGCACAGCGGGGCCAGCCCGGGGGGCAGCTCCTGGGGCGCTGGGCGCCCTGGCAGCCCCCCCTGCGCCCGCCCCCGGGCTGCCCCCGCGACCACCTGTACGACCTGTACGCCGTCTGCAACCACCACGGCAGCATGCAGGGCGGCCACTACACCGGTGAGCGGGGACACGGGGGACAGGGCGTGCCCTGGGGGTGCCGTGGGTGTGCCGTGGGGCACGGCGGGGCAGAGAGGAGCCGGGGTGCAGGGCACACTCAGGATGGCATTGCAGCCACCCCAGGGCAGGCAGGGCACCGGGATGTGTCCCCCAGCAGCATCCCACTCCCCCGGTGTGTCCCTGCACCATGAGGCTCCTGGTCCCCCCTGCACCCCGGGGCTCGAGGCATCCCGGCACAGAGCCCCCGTGCCCGCTCACCCCGCGGCCCCTCGCCCCCAGCGTTCTGCTGCAACGCCCTGGACGGGCGCTGGTACAGCTTCGACGACAGCCGGGTGGAGTGGGTGCGCGAGGCCGAGGTGAGCACCCGCAGCGCCTACATCCTGTTCTACCAGCGCCGCCGCGCCGCCGGCTCCGGCACGGGTGAGCCCCAGATCCCTGCCCCCGCAGCCCGGCCCTGTGTGACCCACACCCGTGGGCACACCCTGCCTCTGCCCCTGCACACAGACTGGCTGCACCATCCCTGGGCGTGTGCGCACCCCCAGCCCACCCTGTCCCACCCTGTCCCACCCTGTCCCCCGCCCCGCTGGGTCCCCCCGGGCGCTGGCCCCGGCCCACGCCCCGCTCCCCGCAGGCTCCGCCGCCGCCGCGGGGCACTGGGTGTTCCGCCTGGCCGCCTCCGAGCCCCGCGCCGACCCCCGCACCGACGCCGACCCCTCGGGCTCCGTCGCGGCCCCGGAGAACGGTGAGGCTCGGGATGCTCGGCCCCCGGCCCCCGCCGCGCCCCCCGCCCGCCCTGAC